CCCCAGCACACACAGGAAAAAGCCAGGCTGCTCCCCCTCTCTGCCTCCCCTTGCTCCCCCGCCCCCCACCCACTTGCTTTCAGTTCCCTGAATCTGCCCACTTCCTCCCACTCGGGGCTTTGGTTGGTCCCCACTGCCTGGGACGCCCCCAACCCCGTCCTCCACCCTCCCTGGAGGACTTGCCTGCCCCACAGACTTCCATTTCCCCACCCAGGGTCTATTTGGTAGCTGTTTCCTAACGGCCTTTCAACAGCAGTGCACTTGAGGACATCTTGCGTGACTTCGCATGGGCCACCATTTTCTCTCTGGTCTGTCTCCGGGGCACTGCGCGGTGGAGGTGCTCTGTCCCTCGGTGTGCCATGCTCCCGCTCCAACAGGACCGGCGCCTTCCAGTCAGGCAGGGCACCGCCTGCCGGGGCTGTGGCATCACCTCGTATTTACCTCCCTTGGCCTCAGAGCCAGGCAGCTTCACTCGGCAAGCCTGTCTCCTGCCAGAGCCGTTACAATTTCTTAGCTCCAGGCGGAGACAGCCCGCAGATGGCTTAATTTAGCAGCATCTCGGAAGGAATTCCTTACTCCAGCTCTTCATCCTTGGACTCCGGGGGCCGGGGGTCATGACCACACCGCGGCTCCAGGCCTGATTTGTGCTGAGGCTCCTCACGTGTGGCTGAGCTGCTCTTTTCAGAGGGAGAGTGTGCGCAAGGGACGGAGCCATGACCTCGCTGCCTGTGGCTTCCCCGACTCCATCAAGGAGCACCTTAAGAGGCAGGCCAGCCTAGTGCCAAAGAGCTCAGGCCTGGCGTCCTGCACCCTGGTTCAGTCTGTGAAACCCAGGGCAGGTGATGGAGACTTCCAGGGCCTCTGTTGCCCATCTGCCAAACGGAGCCAGGGGTGGTGCCACCCTCGTCAGGAGGTCCCAAGGCTGGTGTGAGATAGACAGGCCATAGCCTGGTGCCCGGTGCATCTGTACTGATGCTGCATGGCTGTGACAAGGAGTAGCTGCAGGTGCCCGTTCTGGGACTCTGAGGCCACTTTTGCAGCAGCACCTGCTGGAGGATGCTTTCTGAGGGCTGGACTGTCCCTCTCCACAGACGACTGGTTTGGGTTTGGGATTTGGGGATTCCATGGCTGCAGCATCCCCTTTCCTCTCCCAAGGGCCCACCTGCAGAGGCTTTTGCTTGAGTAGGCTTCCAGGAGAGCCCCCAGTCTGGCTGCTGAGTGAGTGCAGGGCCGCTAGGGGGCTGCATTTCCCCCCAGAAGTTTCCTAACAAGTTGCCATGAACTTTGGTAGCTTAAAACAACTTACTCTCACAGTTTGGAGGACAGAAGTTTAAAGCCGGGATGTGGGCAGGCCTATACCCACTCTGAGGGTTCCAGGGCTGCCTCCTTCAGCCTCGGGAGGCTCCTGGGCCAAGGCCCTGCACCCCCGGGCTCCACCTTCACCTGACCTCCTCTGTGTCTTCTGTCTCTTCAAAGACCCTTGTCCCCTTAGTAACCCAGAATGATCTCATCCTGAGATCCTTCACTTAATACATCTGCAAAGAGCTTCTTTCCAAATAAGGTCACATTTGTCCATTGTAGGGACATTGGTCAACCCAGTCTGAAGGCCAAGGAGAGCTGTGGGGGCGGGGGGTAGCAGAGACATGGATCACAAAGGGCTGGGACACATGGGAGCATGGAGAAGAAAGTGGTTGCCAGGGTGTGGGGGCGGGGGGTAGCAGAGACATGGATCACAAAGGGCTGGGACACATGGGAGCATGGAGAAGAAAGTGGTTGCCAGGGTGTGGGCGGGGGGGCGCTGCTCAATGGGGATCAAGTTTCAGTTATGCAAAATGAACAAGTTCTGGGGCTCTGGGTGACATTGAGCCTGTAATCAACAACAGTGTGCGTATACATTGTGCATCTAAAATTTGCTAAGAAGGTAAATTTCATGTTAACTATTCTTACCAAAAGAATGGAACTTCAAAAGATAACTCTTCTTACCAAAAAACAAAAACCAACATGGTAAAGGAGACTTGGGGCAACAATGAACATTTGCATTGCCCTGGCTACGAGACGGTCTCCCAGGGACTTGCGCATGTCCACACTCCAATGACACACCGTGATGGGCACAGCTTGTATGTCAAATATACCCCAATAAGGCTGTTAAAGTTTTTAAAATTTTCACATTTATTTATTTTGATACTAGGGATTGAATCTAGGGATCCTTTACCACTGAGCTACATCCAAAGCCCCTTTTTTTAATCTTTTATTTTGAGACAGGGTCTTGCTAAGTTGCTGAGGCCGGCCTAGAACTTGCAATACTGAGTCACGGGGACTTTAGAAGTGCGTCACCATGCCCAGCTACTAAAACTATTTTAGGGGCTGGTGTTGTAGCTCAGTGGTTGAGCACCTACCTCGCACGTGTGAGGCACTGGGTTCAATCCTCAGCACCACATAAAAATAAATAAAGACATTGTGTCCATCTACAACTAAAAAAAAAAAATTTTTTTAAGTTTTTTAAAGATGGGGCTGGGGTTGTGGCTCAGTGGTAGAGTGCTCACCTAGCATGCACAAGGCACTGAGTTCGATCCTCAGCACCACATATATTTAAAATAAAGATTTTGTGTCCACCTAAAACTTAAGAATAAATATTTTTTAAAAAAGTTTTTTATTTTTTATTTTATTTTTTTTAAAGAGAGTGAGAGCGCGCACGCGCGAAAGAGAGAGAGAGAGAGAGAGAGAGAGAGAGAATTTTCTTTTAATATTTATTTTTTAGTTTTCGGCGGACACAACATCTTTGTTGGTATGTGGTGCTGAGGATCGAACCCGGGCCGCACGCATGCCAGGTGAGCTCGCTACCGCTTGAGCCACATCCCCAGCCCTAAAAAAGTTTTTTAAAGAAAAAATTATTTTGACAGTGATAATGTAACACAATTGGAAATTATTTTGACATAATGTTAAGTTTTTTATAAAACCATATGTAAGTTGTCACATAATTTATTTAGTTAGTTTTGCAGTACTGGGGACTGAAGTCAGAGTGCTCCACCCTGAGCAGGTGGACATCAGGTGTCTGGGGAAGAGCCTGCCCTGGTGGACTCTCGAGTTTTGGGGTTGGGCTCTTCTGAAGCTTGAGACCAGGGCTGAGGCCAGAATGCTGCCATAGGGGTCCATACAGGGACTTGCAAAGGCCACAAACCTGAAACAGCCTGCACTTTTTTGGACATAAGGACTTGTGGGCACCTTCTTTTTTTTTTTTCCAGAAGAAGTGGGGTCCACATAGGATAGGGAGTGAAGAGCAAGGTCACTCCAGGAATAGCCAGATCTACTCACCACCATCTGATTCCGTGGGTTCCCAACAAGCTCCCATGACCCCACCTCCTTTTCACCTGTGGTCAAGGAACAGGGAGCACCCCAGACAGCACCAGCAGTAGCTGCAGCAGAATGTTCTGGAAAGAACTCAAAACTCCCTCAAGAAGAAACCAAAAGACTCTAGAGGAGGGGGAGAAGGCTAACAGAGTTTTTCTACCACCAATTTCCTGTGGGGCAACCTTGAACCAAACCCTGCTCTGAGCCTCCGTTCTTGTCGGTAGACCAGCGCACGTGATCCCACTCAGGTTCTGCTTTGCACGGAGCACAGAGACTTCCCTCTACAAGTTCTGTCTTCTCCCTGTTCATATTTCTTTCTCACTTTGTCATGTTAAGGCTGCTGGCTAGACGTAGGCCGAGCTGGCCACCCCTAAGGGAGCCAAGGGTGCCCTGTATGCTTGACGAGAACCTGTAGCTGCTGGGACACGGCTCCTGCTTTATCCTGCAGCCACCATGGGCTCTCAGCCGCCCTGCAAATCCAAAGGGAACCACCTGGCTGGCCTTCCACCCAGCCACCATGTCCCCCAATGAACTCTTGGGAACTTGAGCCCTGCTGAGCCTCGGCCAGCAGGGGTACTTCCCCTGTGCCTGGGGAGCCCCTGCACCTCCTTGGAGCCCACCCACCCCTTAAGCACCTCTTCTCCAGGGATGCCTCCCTGGCTCCAAGGCCTGGTCTTGCCACTGCGGTGGATGCCCTCTCTCCCTGTGCTGGACTCTCAGCCCCTGAGGGTGGGCCGGGTCTCCCTCACCTGCGGCTGTATGTCCCAATCCTGGTGTGGAGCCGTGCTCAACAGACAGGAGTGCGTGGAGGGGCGAGCGAGGGGACAATGAGAGGACGCCTAAGCAGACAGCGAACCCACCCCCTTTCTCCTCTGCCTCCTTTGGGCCATCCTGGGCAGAAATGCCACTTAGGGGGTGTTGTGCTCAGTTAATGGGTGGGATCTCCGACACTAGGAGGTGAGGCTGCCCAGTGGACAACTGGCGGGCGGCAGGAGGGGTTCTCACCCAGCACCCTCCCTCCTTCCCTTCCCTCCTGCCTTTTAGTACCTTCCTCAGCCTCCAAGCAGCTGGGCTCACAGGGGTGCTCCATCATGCCCAGCTGGCTGCGCTTCTCGAGAGGAGAGGGCAGGCCAAGGACGGCGGCTAACTGGTGCTGGGGATGGGGCAAGCTGGGCCAGGTCTACCACTGTCACACCCCAGCCCCTGATGGCATGAAGTCTCAACTGCAGAGGTTGCCACTTTTTGGATCTGTCTCCATGGAGTGTCCCCCCCCCCAACGGCAAGGTGATAACTCTTGAACTCTGACCCTGAAGCCATCAATGGCAGGGCCCTGATCACACAGGCAGGAGGGGAGTGAGACCGCATTCCTGGGAGGGACAGCTTTTAATGGTGGGAAATCAGCATGTGAAGGACAACACTGCTGCTAGGTCCCATCGCACGGTGGCTCCAGTCATGGGTGACATTGACTCTACATCATCTTCCCCAGCCGCGAGGGGGACCTGAGACGCCGCGGTCCTCTCCCCCTCGGGTCTCCTGCTCCTTGCCTTCCCTCAGCGCACTGCCCCGGTGTCTTCCCAGGAGCAGGGTGGACCAGTGGAGGAGGGGAGTGACCCGAATGAGCCTCCCCCTCTGCTCTTCCCCTCTGTATGCAGGTGGGTCGCCATCTTGACACGTTCCCCACCGAGGCTGATCGCCAGAGAGCACTCAAAGCCCAGCGAGAAGAATACGCAGTGCGCCAGGGGACCCTGCGCCTGGGCAACTACACCCACCCCTAGGCCCTCGCCTGCCCGGGGAAGCCCGTCGCAGCGGAGACCCCCGGAGGACTCAGCTCTCTCGCCAACCCCAACGCGACCCTCCTCCCCGTCTGCAGTTTCTGCTGTGCGAAGACCCAGTCAGGCCTTAGCTTGATATTTTTGGCAAGGCCCTCCCTTTAGGTTAGCCAATACCAGTCCTACCTACCCCAGTGGCCCTCGACCTGGGGACTCCTCCTCCTCAGGCTCACCCTGCTTCTCTGCAAGCTCTCCCCTGACCCCATGAACCCCAATTACAAGGCAGTTTTAAAAAATCCCGGCTAAGGGTCGATCCTACGACTCTGCCCATTAGGCATCAAGAACCACCTGTGTTTCCTGCAGAAAGCGTGACAGTGACATGCTTTGAAAGCTCTCATTTCATATTCCAAACATGAGTTTTAATTGCTCTTTTTGGGATGCCTAGTGTCTCGCCACAGCAGAATAATCTCTCTGGGACCCCTGACAGCAGGCAGAGCTGATGGTTCATTACTTGGACAGCCCCCACCCCTCAGCTCAGGGCCCCGTCAATCAGTCAGGCCAGGCTAGACTTCCCACCAAGCCTGCCTGGGGTGTGGACCCCTCCCTAGAAGGAGAGAGGCTGCCAGGCCAGTGGGACTTCTCAGGCAAACTTCTGGGTGCTTCTTAACTCAATTTTCTGCAGGTTCTTTGGCTTCTTCTCACAAATTATATGCTGATCTGTTTTAAATTTAAAGGCTGTCTGTCCTCTCTCTCCCTCAAGTCCCTGTGTGTAAGCCAATAAAGCCTGAAGCAGTGAGCCACCGATATGAGACTCACCCGGAGTCAGTGTGGCTGCCTGAGACCCTCCGAGGTTCACTAACCTCCAAGACATACCCCGCACCCGACCCGAGTCAGGCAAGACTTGGAGCTTTACACTCCCTTTCTACCCTGGGGGCTCCCAAACGCCGATATTCACCTGGACTTCTCCCCGGAGTCCTAGACTCTCCACCCGGCTGCCCACCTGCCACCTGCATGTGGTGCCTGGCATTCCGCTCTAACCCAAACAGAAGACTCCATCTTCCCACCAAGCCCACCTCCTCGTCTGCCTCTCCCGTGTCATGAGACCCGTCCACCCAGCTGCTGCGGCCCAAACTGCACCATTCTGTTCCCTGACGCCTGAGCCACCAGAAGCCTGTCACCACGACCTGCCCAACCCTACCCTGGGCCAGCCGCGGCTTTCCGCCTCACTGCACCAGCTGGAGGCAGCACCTTGGTCCTCTCTCTGGAGGATCCCAGCCACCTCCCTGCTTCCTGGCCCACGGGGCAGTCCCCAGCCCCTTGGCACTCAGGGACTTCCATCACTCCTGAGAAAGCCACAATCTGCTGGCAGGAGAGCCACGGCCCACCCCTCGGGCTCCCCTCCCACCGTGGCCACTGGCTCACGCCTGCCTTGGCTCCTGCGCTTTGTGCTCCTTTTTCTCTCTGCCTGCAGGCCTGAGCCCCAACTGTCACCTGCCTCCTGCTTGTCATTCAGAGCTTAGCTGCACCCCTCCTCAAAGGCCTTTCTCGGAAGAGCCCCAGGTGAATTCCACAGCCTGTTTTATTCTCTGCAGAGCCGTGACCTGCTCCTCTTTCCCTCTAGGAGGGAAGCACCGACCCTCCACCCACACCGCAGCCCACCAGAAGCCAGTTCACACAGATGCCCCTGCCTCAGCAGGGCCTGATGGACCCCACCCACCCATGAGCCTGGACCCCTTACTCAGCACCATGGAGACAACATCCTCACTCATTTCACAGTCCTGGGGTGGAACCCAGGGGTGCTCTACCCCAAGCTACAATCCCAGTCCTTTTTTATTTTGAGACAGGTTCTCACTAAATCGCCCAGGCTGGCCTTAAACTCTTGATCCTCCTGCCTCCTGAGTTGCTGGGATCCCAGGTGTGCACTACCATGCCTGGCACACCCTCACTCATTTGGCCCAAGCTGCCCTTGACTCACTGAGCAACCAAGTCTGGCAGAGGAGAGCCCAGGCAGTACCATGCCACCACTGTCAAGAGCACGGGCTCAGCTCCACCAAATACTTTCTGCAGGACCTTGAGCAAGACACCTATCCTCTGTGCCTTATCTGTGAGCTCGACTATCATAGGACATTTCCTCAAGGTACATTAGATAACGATGGCTTTAAATAAAGTATATAATGTGATTAGCACAGAGTCTGGCACTTTTAAGCTACAAGTAAATACAACTTTTAATTTCTTTTTACCAAAGCACACTGGGAAGGCGCAGGCACCAGAGTCCTGTGGGTGACAGGGGGCAAGGGCAGGATGTTCAGAGGGACAGGTTGCTCTGAAATTCCCTGTGGCTGGGGGTGGGGGGGTTGGGGGACACATCAGGGGACAGAAGTTTGCCAAAGGACCCAGAATTGAACTCGCTGCTCCAAAGGGTGAGGCCAGCCCCTCCCTGGCCACAAGAGATGACCACCTGCAAGTGGCCCCGTCAGGCCTGCTTTTCCAAGGCCTGCCAAGCACAGGCTCAGCCCCCAGCGCTCCAGGACTCTTGCTGGTTTATCCCACCACTTGCTGCGGCAGAGGCCCTGCGCGCTCTCGGAGTGCACAGCCCAGGCCCTCCCGCCAGGCCCCCAGCGCTCTCTCCCGAGAGCCTCTCGGCTCCTTGTCCTACAGCGCCACCCGCTGGCGTGCTTGAGTCAGCGACAGCAGAGGTTCCTGATCTTTCCGCCGCCGGGCATCCCTCTCTCCCCCAGGGCTTGGTTCTTCCCTCCATTGTTAATTTCTGAACCCACACAAAGCCCCAGGTCTGACCCACACTCTTGGGTAGTACCCCGTATCTTCAGCGGAGCCCCTGTCCTCACTTGAACCAGGCTTGGGGGAGGAGGTGCAACTACCTGCCCTTCTGAACGGGGCTAGTCCGGAAGGTTCCATCTTGAGGGGCCTTGGGCTTCATCCTATTGACCTCCTCCTCCACCACCACCCCAATTTCACAGACTCGTGTGCTCGAGGGAGGCTGACACGTTGCCACAGGCCAGGGACAACCACTGTGTGTTCCAGTCTGTCCCCCCAGTCTCCTCTAAAGATGCACAAATGTGGGGAGGGCTTGGCTTTGCAACCCAAGTCCTCCTGATCACTGCCAACAAACACCAGGTGAGGATGGGCATCACAGGGACGGCCCTGTGCCCCTGTTTTGGCTGATTTCCCCACTGGTTGACATTCAGGAGCATTCTACCTCTGGTTAGATTTCTTGGCAATGCACCACTAACCAGAGACTGCGTGTACTGTCTGCAAAAGACACAGGGAGACGGCTGATCTGGACCTTCTTCTGCTCTGCTTGAAATTCTTTGAAGTCCCCTCTGAGGTGGGAGGGACCTGGTGTACACCTGGCAGGAGAGGGGAGCAGAAGCAGGCTGGGATGCAGGACATGGAGATGGAGCCTTGGAAGACAGGATTCACCAGGACAGAAGGGCCCTTCAGACCACCTGGACCCGCAGGAGAAGAGGGCTGCAGAGCCTTCTACCAGCAGGACCAGGGCCAGAACAGAGCTCCTGGACCGAGGGCCCAGCTTTCTTCCATGCTGACACCACCGGCTTAGGTCTACTTCCAGATTTATAAACCAGAGCCAGGTTCATACCCAGAAAACTCATAACTACAGGCCACCATGCAGGCTTCATGTATGTTTTTAAAGCAAATCACTTCCTGAACCATCTTCCTGAACCCAGAAGAAAGGAGGGGGTCAGGGGCTTCTGGAGGCTGACCGCTGTGAAGGATTCTCAGCAGGACTAGTGGCCCCTGGGCATGTCAGCTACCTGCCTGGCAGGGACTCCTAGAAGCTGGAAGAGAAAGTACTTTGTAGCCAAGATCTAATCCCACCCAGGAGGTCCTGAGTCCAGAGAGAGTCTGCCTTCTTGATTCACTATCCTAGCACCCAGCTAGTGCCACCTTGGAAACAGCAGATGGCGGAGACTAGACTGCCCCTATGGCAGGTCCATGCTCCATACTGAGGTGGACCTGTACTGCAGCTGGGCAGGTCTGCGTCTCCAGCCAAGAACTTTCTTTTGCATTTATTCTTATAGACCAAAACTTTTTTTCTGCCTTTCTTTTTCTTTGGGAAACCTTTTGATGCTTGGAATCATCATTAAGGGTTGGGGGGGGGGGACTAGGCTGGCTTTTTATACAGGTTCCTAGAACTGAATGCAGGAAAATTACAAACTTGAATCTGCAAGTGGAAAATTATCTAGAAAAATTTTGGGAAGGGGAGCTGGGGAACAAACCCAGAGCCTCAGACATGCTGGGGGAGTACTGTCCTACTGACCACACCCACGCACAATGAAGGAGATTCATCCCGATGGGCACCACTGCATTCCGTGGGCTCCAGCGGGGTGGGTCTTCCCTGCCACGACTTGCAAGCATCTAGCATGAAGCACAGGACAGCAAGCTCAGCGGGAAAGAAGAGAGGGAGGGAGCAGGGAGAGCTAGAGAGAAGATGGGAGGAATTGGGAAGAAAAACAGAAAATGTTCTTTCCTGCTTTCAGGAGTGCCACGGGGTTTTGACCTAAAAAGACACAAAAGGTTGTGACCATCCTGGCCTTGAGGCCTACTCTCTTTTCAGATCCTTGCCCAACCCATTGGCTGTCAAAGCAGAGAGAGGCTGGCACCCAGGGCTGGTGTCACCTCAATCCTCAGTCCAATCCTCAGTAGTTAGGGACACCGACCACTGAAGGAAAGTCTCCAGCTATGATTAGTAGTCATAACACGATTTGCGTGACCACCGTTCCTCAGGATCCAGGCCACGTATGAAGAGTCACCTGGGCAACATCGTCCCACTGTGCAGCTGGAAGAGATGGTTCAGTGGTTTGCTTTAAAAGCAAATACATAAAGCTGGCACAGTGGTACTCCTGTTATCCCAGCCACTAGGGAGGCTGAGGCAGGAGGATGGAAAGTTCAAGGCCAGCCTGGGCAAATTATAGTGAGACCCTGTCTCAAGATAAAAAAAATTAAATAAAAAGGCTGGGGATGTCAATAGTGGTAAAGCACCTGAGTTCAATCCCCCAAATTGAAATTAAAAATAAGTGTGACTTCAGCCAGGTACAGAGACAACTCAAGAAACGGAGGCAGGATGATTGCAAATTGAGACCAGTGAGACCCTGTGACCACATTCAAAGGGGGCTGGGGTGCAGCTCCATGAGAGAGCACCGCTGGGTTCAGTCCCCATTTCCACATACTCCAACAAAACAACAACAACTTTTCAGGAACAAAATTTGCCTAAGGTGTAAAATTCAAGGGATTTCCAAACAAACTCAGTAATTAATATTTCTGATAACAATATTTTTAAACCAAACATTTAAAGCCCAGGAGAGACAAAAATATCAACATTTTAAAAAAAAAAAAAAGATTTGCTGTACTTACCAAGTCCTAGATTCCAGAGTCAGGGCTGTAGTTCATCCCCACCCCACATGCTGCCCTAGACCAGCTGCCCGCGTGCCACATTCTCATATGAGCAGAACCCTCAGGGTCATTCTCAAGAGCGCTGAGCATAGCTCTCCTGGCGGGTGGCTCTGTCTGCTGAGTCAGATGAACAAAACTGGCAAAAGCAACCCTTCCTCCAGCCCCAGGGTTGAGCAGGGTTGGGGAGAGAGGAAGTCAGGGCTGGGTTCTGAGGATGCTGATGAGAGCCATGACCCAGCCAGAAGCCCATGCTCTCCCAGGTCCATCCCTCACCCAAAGTCAAGTCCAAGCCAAGAGCCTAGGTAGAGAAGGATGTGGATTCTACAGCTGGCTCCTGATGCTGATGCTGTGTACTAAGGGGAATGCTGGGGTCCTGGCTGGCAGGAGACAGGGGCTGACCAGAGCCTTCTAAGGACTTGCCAGTGCGTGTGCCTGCCCCATCCCTCTCTCGTGGGTGGCTGGTCTTGGACCTTCTAGGGCTCTGGGTCCAGAAGTGCTAAGTGTTTAAAAAGAAAACAATCTCAAGGGACTGGGCAAGGAAGAACTGTAATCTGACGCAAGAGATTCCAAGAGGAGGTGGGAAGTGGGTGTACAGGGTCTGGGGTCTTGAAAGGATGCTCAGGACAGGGAATGTGGGTGCTGGAGTGGCAGTTCTGGGGCCTAGGTTAAGATTGAGTGGTCCTAAGAGCGTGGCTCTGGAAGTGCCCTGGTCACACTCATTTTCTTCCTTCCCTTGAGGTCTCCAAGCCCGTCTCCCAGGCCCTTGGGGAGGGGACCGAGAACTGCTGAGAGCAGTAGGCTGGGGAGAGAGACCTGCTTCCCACTGTGTCAGTGGGGGCTCAGAGAAGTTGGGCAATTTGCCAAGGTTTACACCCAGCTCATCCTAGTCCTGATACCCCTCCTTACCAACTAGGCTTCTTTGCCAAAGGGTGGGGCTGATCAGGAGCTCCTGGACATTTAGTAAAACGCCAGGTCCTGGGCTCCATCCCAGGTAAGCATGAGCCCAGGTGAGCACACACAAACCTCTCAGCTACGGACAGGCTAAGATGCAGGGCCCACCCAGATGATGAAGGAGAAAGGAGGTACCTCAGTGGATCTGGATAGGAATAAAACCATGTTAGTGAGAAGAAGCTAAATCCTAAATTCCAAATGAAATAAATTGCATAGCACGTTTATATTATAATAGACATTAATAATTCAATACTAATGATAGTATATGTGGTCTGTTAAATATTCTTACGCCTTCAAAAAGCACAGAGAAGTTGGCCAAGGCTGTAGGAAATTGGGGTTACAGAGTTCTTTTCCACCCCAGAGGTTCCAGCCAGCTCCCCACCCCCAAGCCCCACCCTCCTGTTCCCATCAAGTGGCAGCGGCTGCTCCGGTTTTACTGTGGCTGGGTCAGGGATCCAGACCGCAGCCTAAGACCCAGAGGCCAGAAGGATCCGGTGTGTCCAGCAGCACCTCCCCAGTGCTGGCTTGGGCAACGGCTGCTAGGGACTGCAGACTCTCCTGTGGCACGGTGGCCAGGGGCTTCACCACCGTTAGCAGTCCCTGGAGATGGGGATATCTCACGACCCAAGTGAGGACCTCGGTGGCTCCAGGAGATGAGACACAGGCTGGGGGAGCAGGGGAGGGTGGGTAAGGGGGGGGGAGTGGGTTCTCCACAAGCACCCCGAGCAGGAGTGAGGTCCAAGCCGGGGGCTAGCAGGGAAGCGCCAGGGCAGTCCTCCGCTGCTGCCTCCTTCTCTTG